ATTTGCAGAAATGGTCATTTTTGTGAAAATTATTACAAATATTATTATGTGAATTTTGTGTTCATGGAGATAGAACCTTTGTTGCACATATACCATATTTATACCTTTTTAAATTTGCATGAAGACATTTAAGTCTTAAAGATATTGTTTAGAGATTTTCTATACATGCATATCACCATAAAATTTATTGTTTAAGAGGAAATGTTTAAATTTGAGCATTTAGGATGCTTTAGGTAGTTAATATTTAACATTTTAGCGACAAAGTCATGTTCTGGTACCTTTTGTTTGATTTTTCGAGACCATATTCTGAGATATTGAAACTATACAGCTTTAACTGATGTATTTTATAATATTTGTAACATTGGTTCTTTTAATGTAGTCGTCTAATGAACATATGTTTGTTACAGTTCCTTTGCGCAATGTTTTTGAAGTTTTCCGTGTTTGCAGTTTGCACATGAAATATATATACTGAATTATTGAAAACAAAACTTTTATTTGTAAGGAGGGTTCCTCCATATTTGAACTGGCTTGAATGTTAAAGTTTTGTTTCTTTCTATGAAGAAAATATGTTTAGAACTCATTTGTTTTTGTTTTGTTTCCTGTAGTCAGTCAATAAATCAATTAACTAAACAATCAAATATTCATTAATTTATCAACTTAAGAATATGTAACAAATGCAAACTACATGTATACAATTGATGATTTGTTTGATACGCCCTAAGTTGATTTAAGCTTAATATTAATCTGCAAAGACATAAGGGATTATATGATAACCTTTTAGTTGATTGAAAAGTTGAAAGATATGTAAATTTTAAGCTCAAATACTTTATGCAATTTTTTTATAAGTTACAAAGGTCCTAACTCCATAGGATTGAGAACAGTAAAAAAACGTTTATATTAAGATTCCAAATGAGACCGACCCCAAGTCTCTAGCCCTTCCCGTTCATGAAATATCTATCAGAAACCGAGCGCATTCGTGCTAAAAATCCTTGGCAGACAAACAAGAGCTGTCGGTAGGACATCAACGCTCGACTATTCTTAGTGCTTGATAGTAATACAAATGCTTGATACAGTTACCTCCTCCTGTTTACAGGTTGGGGTCATGATGGTGAACAAGTGTGCAAAGTTTCAAAGCCATATGTCAATGGACTTTGAAAATATTTGAACAATTACAAAAACTTTAACGTAAATTCTTAGTCGAAAAAGGGGCATAATTCTGTCAAAATGCTTGATAGAGTTACCTCCTCCTGTCTACAGGTTGGGTCATGATGGTGAACAAGTGTGCAAAGTTTCAAAGCCATATCGCAATGGACTTTGAAAATATTTGAACTATTACAAAAACTTTAATGTAAATTCTAAGTCGAAAAAGGGGCATAATTCTGTCAAAATGCTTGATACAGTTACCTCCTCCTGTCTACAGGTTGGGGTCATGATGGTAAACAAGTGTGCAAAGTTTCAAAACCATATGTCAATGGACTTTGAAAATATTTGAGGTATTACAAAAACTTTAACATAAATTCTAAGTTGAAAAGGGGCATAATTCTGTCAAAATTCTTGATATAGTTACCTCCTTCTGTCTACAGGTTGGGGTCATGATGGTGAACAAGTGTGCAAAGTTTCAAAGCCATATGTCAATGGACTTTGAAAATATTTGAACAATTACAAAAACTTTAACGTAAATTCTTAGTCGAAAAAGGGGCATAATTCTGTCAAAATGCTTGATAGAGTTACCTCCTCCTGTCTACAGGTTGGGTCATGATGGTGAACAAGTGTGCAAAGTTTCAAAGCCATATGTCAATGGACTTTGAAAATATTTGAGGTATTACAAAAACTTTAATGTAAATTCTAAGTTGAAAAAGGGGCATAATTCTGTCAAAATGCTTGATACAGTTACCTCCTCCTGTCTACAGGTTGGGGTTATGATGGTGAACAAGTGTGCAAAGTTTCAAAGCCATATGTCAATGGACTTTGAAAATATTTGAGGTATTACAAAAACTTTAACATAAATTCTAAGTTGAAAAAGGGGCATAATTCTGTCAAAATTCTTGATAGAGTTACCTCCTTCTGTCTACAGGTTGGGGTCATGATGGTGAACAAGTGTGCAAAGTTTCAAAGCCATATGTCAATGGACTTTGAACATATTTGAACTATTACAAAAACCTTAACATAGGTGGTTACGCCGACGCGGAAGCCGACGCTCGGGTGACTACAATAGCTCTACTTATTCTTATCGAATAGTCGAGCTAAAAAGTGGCACAACAATTCGGTACGTAAACATAGACTAATACATGTTTGCCAGCCGAGTACGTGTCAAAATCACTTGAATTTAAATAATATTTATTTACTAAGTACATTAAGTTGGACCACTCACAACAAAATAAGATAAAGACTAGTTTCTGTTCATTTCGTTCAACGGACCAGAACCACTCGAGCAATTGCTATAAAGACTGTGAATCGGGCTAGTCAGGAACGATTCACTGACTGTGCAGGTCAAATCTTTGTGATTGATATTGAAATCATTTCGATGGTTATTCAAAAATTATCAGTTCCTTGCGAAAGTAATAGCAACTACTACCAGAAAACTGCTTAAAGGCCTGTCCAGGAAAGTCATTTAAAAAGTGGTAGGAGTCTCAAGGGGTCTAGTAGTCATCTTAATATCCTAAGGGTCGAGAAGTCGAGGGGTCTAAGTGTCTTACTTGCCTACAAGATGATGCTTCATTTAAATTTTTAACCCAGAGAAGATGATTTATAATTAAAGTATATGTAAACTTAGCCACACCACTAAACAAAGGTGGGATATTTTAACCCCAGGGGCATGACGTCCAGAACATTTATAGATGTCCACTAGGCAGTGCTACATGCCAAATATGTAGGCTATGGAATTATAGTTGCACAAACGATGACTTAAATTGTTTAGGTGTACACTAACTATATCAGTTAGGTGAACCCTTATGGGGGCAAATAAATATTTTTTTATCCAATAAGCATAAGTTATATAACCTTTGTTAATGACAAAAAGGCGATGTTACATGTCACATATCTACAATCGAGGTATTACTGTTTCTGAGAACAAGTTTTTTAATGATAATATTTGAAGTCTATTTTTATCTTTTGCAACCTACTAATGCACAATACTGAAACCATTTATACCACTTTTTAGGACAACCTAAGAATCATATTTGGTCAAAATCCATCAAGTGGTTTCGAAGGAGTTGTTGTTTTACGAAAATGTGGACATCGACAAAAGGCGGACACACTGTCATCACAATTTTAACTCACTTTTGAGCGCATTGTGCTACATTAATCTTAAACAACAAGCTCATTTCATCCAGAACACGCTATCAGCAGCAGATAAATGACGCATTAAAATTTCAAAAAGTGGAGGAATAAGACGGACAGTATCGTTGGGGGAATGGTTAGTATACTCGTGATCGGGAGATTTCATATTGACCTGTTATTTGATCAAAAGACTTTTGTAATTTTATTTATTTATTTTTTGAAACAAAATAGCGACTTTCACTCTTTAAATTCATATCAACACTTTCGTATTGGCAAAAGTACGTACATTGACCTTCCTTTTCTGCATTTGCCCTGTTTATTCTTACCTCGTATTGACATTAGTTATCTTATATTAGCATTGTGATAAAATATGCTGGCTAGAATTAGTATGGTACACAACAATGTTTAACATTTTTTTTCACAACTAATGCTTCAGGGAAAACAAATTGAATTAAATACGAGAAATGTCGAACAACACATGCCACCCCCCTTTTAGCCCTTGACTGATACTATTTT